GGGAGACAGGAGCCAGAAATGAAGCTGTTGCAGAAAGCAAGTTCCCGGAACCCGTGCATCAAAGGGAGGAGAGAAGAGACCAGCTCCGCTCTTGGAAAGGGTCGCCAGTGAACTGTCCCGAGGAGGAGGCACCAGGAGATTAGAATGTGGCCACATTCCTCACATAAGAACATAACATAAGAACATAAGAGACGCCAGTGTTGGGTCAGGCCAAAGGCCCATCCAGTCCAACACTCTGTGTCACACAGTGGCCAAAAGCACCAGGTGCCATCAGGAGGTCCACCAGTGGGGCCAGGACATTTGAAGCCCTCACAGATACACACTCAGTGCTCACTGAGTCGGGACCTCCTGCAGGGCTGGTTTATGAGCAGCACACAGAGGTCTCTTTGCCACGGCATTAAAGAGACTCATCAAGAATGAACAAGCTGTCCCTGACCTGGATCGCCCAAGCAAGCCCCATCTCGTCAGATCTCGGAAACTAAGCAGGGCCGACTCTGGCAAGTATTTGGATGGGAGACATTGTTGGAATACCAGCAGCCAGGAGGCGGGGGCAGGCTTTATTCTGCCTCCTCTATGAATAGCCCCCAAGCCCCCAGGTAGGGGTCAGTCACCAGAGGCCACCATGACTTCCAACTGCACACACACTCACAGGCATACACACATATAAAAAGCCCCAACATATATTAAAAAAATAAAGAAAGAACAAGCTGCCACCATGGCTGGTGAAAGCTACAAAAAGCTGAAAGTCCCGAGTTCAAATCCCCACACAGCCACCAAGCTCAAGGAGTGACTTTGGACTAGCCACACATACTCCGCCTAACCTACATCACAGGACTGCTGTGAGAACAAAATGGCAGGAAGGGGAAACCAAGTATGCCAACACTGACTTCCTTGGATGAAGAATTACTTCTTGTTGAGTTGTTGTTCTTAAGAACATAAGAGAAGCCAATGTTGGATCAGGCCAATAGCCCATCCAGTCCAACACTCTGTCACACAGTGGCCAGAAATACCATCAGGTGCCATCAGAAGGTCCAGCAGTGGGGCCAGTGGTGTTTTTTTTAAAAGAGCACTAAAATGCACGAATTGGAACAGTCCCCCCCTCCCAACAGAAAAGGGTGCTCTCACCTGAGCTGGGCTGCAGGGTGTGCAGGTGCTCACAAACCCCCGACTGCAAGAGCTTGAGAACGTGCACAGAGCCCCGATCTGACGCCACAAACAGCCGGGTAGAGTCCGCAGAGAACAGAAGCTGGTGGGCTCCACAAGCCACCTTTGGCACCTTGCGAACCTTTGGGGAGACGAGGCAGGGTCACCAAAGCCACCCTCTCCACCCCCTGGCTCCAGAGGCCCGACGCCTGCTCCCCACCACTCACCCGCTGCAGGGCAACACGCTCGCCGGCCAGCTGGACCCGGTACAGACACAGCCGGGAAGCCGTGGAGTAGGCGATCCAGGTGCCCCAGGCAGAGATGCAGCTGCTGCGGATGTGCTCAGGGCCCTGGCGAGAAAATAAGGGTGAAACAAGGGATGAGCTCACCCCGTCATCCCCCAGCCAGCCGGAAGCAGCCAAGATCTTTGCAGCAGCCAGGCCCACGACTGTGGGAGACGCGGCCAATCAAAGCCGCCTCCTTCAGGACTGCTGTGGACTACTGCAGCTCCCTGGATGCAAGGGGATTTGGGCCTGGTACTAAAAAATGAGGCATGTTTTAACTGGACATTTGCCCATCCAGTCGCCAGAGAGGAGGCAGGACAAGAACTGAACCCTACCCGTGCTCTTCTGGCAGGTGCCCTCACCTTGTTCTTGAGCTGGACCAGGTGCTCAGGGGGGCAGGACACAGGCAAGACTTCCCCGTCTCTTCCTGGAGCGAGAAACAAGAGCAGCTAGAGACACACCAAGGCAGGTTCCAGAGGCCAGGGCTCGGGACAGGCGGCAGAAGGAGCAGAAGGTGCCCACAAGCCAGAGTGGGCCCCAAACCCTTCTTTACCAGCCTGGCAATCCGCAACTGCAAGGACAGACAGATGAGGCTCCACCTGGGCGAGATGCTACCCAGGTGCTTGCGTACAAGGCTTTGGACCATGCCCTTTGGTCTCACCTGTGGCACTGGTGGTTCCGAGTCTCCACAGCTCCAGGTGTAGTGGGTACTGGAAGAGGAGGAGACGGGCTTTCCTGGCACACGAGACAAGGCACCTCTGCAAGGCGGAAAGGCACAGTGTCAGAGCAGGAGGCACGCCTTCCCCGGCACGAAATGTGCCTGCATCCTTCCGGGGGGGACAGGGGGACGGGGGACTAGCACAATTCGTGGCACATGAGGCTGCAGGGTTCTGGCCTAGAAACTTACATGGGGGAAGGTGACTTTCCGAACAGCGGCTTCGTAGCTCCGGGACTCCACCTTCTCCATGAGTGGCCGGATCACCAGCTGCCCATCCAATCCTGAAGGGGAGGGGAGAAGGCAGCCAGATGTCAAAGCAGGCCAAGTCACAGCAGATGAGTGCCCCCCCCCCGCCACAGGAGAGAGACACTCCCTGTCACACTCTACCTCCACTGATGAGCGCTGTGGCCGTGTGCGCCACGGTCCTCACGTCATGCGTGTGGTACTGGAACGGCTTTGTGCGCACCCACTGGCGCTCGGCACTGCCCGCCTTCACCTGAAGCAGCTGGAACTGGTACACAGCCCCCGCCGATGTGCCCACCACAATGCTGTCTTCTGCCTGCAAAGGGAAGGAGGAAGAAAGCGGTGCAGACAGAGAAGGTGCAACTACTGCAAGAAAACACCATTCAAGTTACGAAACACTCAACAGCTCGCATTCCCTGCAAGGAAAGAGCGAAGGTCCATCGAGCTCCATCACCGGGTTGCCTGCAGAAGACTGTCAGCTCTCCCAACGAGGGTCTCATGGCAGGCCCGGAAACGCTGTCCTCCTTTGCTGGGTCTCCAAAGAGGCCACTGCCAAACAGGAGCACGTTTACCTGCAGCAACTGCCAACAGGCCTGTCCCACCCCTCTGTTGGGACTGTGCTCACACAACCCTCTGGGCCTGGCAGCGAACAACCCCTTGCAGTCTGACTCGGCAGTAAGCAGCTCTGCCCCGGGGGAGAATTTTCTGACACTCTTCCCCACGGCACACCTGACTACTCCACTGGCTTATGGAATGACTCGTGACTAATGAGACTATCAATGCACCATCCTGTATTTTGATCCTCCCGTACGATGTACCCCGCCCCCCACTAAAGCCTGAGGGGCCCTGGCCCCCTACCTCAGAGGTGGCCAAGGACAGCACGGCTGAGCTGCTGATGACGGATGTCTGGAGCAGGGTCCCCATCTCCGAATCCCAGAACTGCACCCTCCCGGAAGAATCCGCGCTGACTATGGTGCCATCCGACAGGAAGACCACACTCCACACTACGCACTCCCGGGGGGTGTGGGATCCTGTCAGGCGCCTGTCCACAAGGAGCCGCTGGACTGCATGGCCTGCAAACGAGACAACGGAGATCACAAGGGGGGAAGGAGCCACGCAGGTCCCCAGGACCTGGCCGGATGGAAGCCAAGGGCCTGCGTGGCACCCAGGCCGCTCGTCTTCTATCTTTCTTCCCACCTAGGTAACCAGCTCTAAGTCAGCAGGCCCTTTACAGAGGGAGGAGAAAAGACAGGGGCACCACCAACATGACCTATCCAGACACCGTTAGCAAGCAGAAATGCCCCTAATCAGAAAGTTACAGGCACAAATGCTCTTTTGTGGTTTGTACAGGGGTCAAGAAAAATGCTCCCACATGGATTCTGGCAACCTGTTAAGGGAGGAAGTTCATGGCTACAGGGCAGCCGCCCAGAATGCCCACGTCTATGACCCCTGCTGTTCCCGCTGGACATACGTCAACACCAGTACTGCCATCCTTGGGTGTTAAAGATCACAGTGGACCACAAAGGGAGAGGAGGTCTCTAGGCTAGAGGAAAAACCTGCAGGCCTGACCCACGCTTCTTCTCCTCACCCACCCCATATCCCTGGCCATTTACTGCAACCCAAACCATACTGACTCTGGCCATTCAGGGCTCAGGCTCACCTGACTTGACATCAAAGACACGGATGAGGTCGATGGAGCCAGCGGCAATCCTGGCCCCGGAGGCATGCCAGAAGAGGGACAGGATGCGGCCTGCAGGGCAAGAGGAAACTCTCAGAGGCATGATCTGCGGCGGCGAAGATTGGATTTATACCCCACCCTTCACTACCCGAAGGAGTCTCAGAGCAGCTTACAATCTCCTTTCCCTTCCCCTCCCCACAACAGACACCCTGTGAGGTAGGTGGGGCTGAGAGAGCTCTCTTGAGAACTGCCCTTGAGAGAACAGCTCTGAAAGAACTTATGACTGACCCAAGGTCACACCAGCAGCTGCATGTGGAGGAGTGGGGAATCAAACCCGGTTCTCCCAGATTAGAATCCGAGCTCTTGACCACTCCACCAAACTGGCCAAGTGAAAGAGGGACCCATTAAGCATAGTCTCCTCTTGTGGGCCAGCAAACCTCAAAGCACACAGAATTCCTAACCCAAAAAGACGAGCCTCGAAGCCCTGGCACCTACATGAAAAGGATGCCAGGATTAAGCATACCAGCTCAGACCCCACGCTACAAACATTTGCCCTCAAGCCCGTTTTCAAAGCCCAAGAGCGAAGAAAAGCCCAAAAGTGTTCAGTTTAGAGACAGGATGACTAAAAGAAGACATGATAATGGTTTATAAAATTATGGACAAGGTAGAAAAAAGGGGGGTGAGAGACAGTATCTTTTTTTGTTTTCCTGTAATACCTTTTATTGGCATACAATATTAGAAAAAAAAAGCAATTCCCAGCATTAATACAATCCAGTAGTAAACCATTCCAAGGTATGTCAGGCCTATAACATACCTCAAGTTGTCAGAAGATAGATTTGACCATACAGAAGATAGCTGAATCGTAAAATAAATTGAATTCTAAACTTTTAAACTTAAGGGGGGGGGGGTTTGTTTGTTTTTTTAATTATAATTTAAGAATTTATTGTCAGATGATTGTAAAAAGGAACCATAGTAAAGTGGGGAAGCCCGCTGAGGAATTTTAGTTAGAAGACTGAATGGAACCTCTGTGACCCAAGGCAGAGTGTCTCTGGTGCCCGTTGCTAAGGACCAGAGACCGGAGGAAGCTTAGGCCTCTGTAGCCCTGTGTGTGGCAGCTGGCCGGCCACTGGAACAAAATTGGTTATTGGCCCGATCCCCACCCCACCCATATACACAACCTTTTTGCCGATCCAGGTTCTTCTCAAACTGAATTCTTTCAGGTAGGACATGGAAGAGCTTAATGGATCCATCCTCACATCCAACCTACATGAAAGAGAAAGTGAATCGGCAACTTTCTCCACCCTACCAAACAGCTTGGGGGAGAGGGGGAACCCGTTGCTACAAACAGAAACAGCTCCTAGGTAGCAGTCACAAAAGCACCCACTGCTCACAGATCACAACTCCTTCAAGCAGGGCCTGGAGCCAGGGTTCTCGTGCCTCCTCACAGCCACCTGAAGGACACCCGGTGGACGACAGACTGCCGCTGTTCTCCACCCTACTAAGGAGACAGCTCTTGGGGGGGGGGGGAGTTTCCAAGCATCGCAACCTGGGACGCTAGAGGCGCTCACCGCTAACTGAGCCCCAGTGGGATCAGCCGCCATGCTCCACAAGGGGCCTCCAAAGGCATCTAGCGCATATTTGACACACAGCTTCTCCAAGTCATATTCGATGATATCTCCGCTGAGGCCTGCGCCAAAGAGCCGATCTCCTCCGGCCCAGCAGAGAGCCTCTGGGATCCTCGTCTCGTGGCCTGGAATAACCTGAGGAAAATGAACAGATGGGGGAAGATGGACGATAGGAAGTCTTCAACGGAACTTGCTAGTCCGAGGGGCAAGGCCGATCCCCTCAGGATCGCTAGGGAAGAACGGCAGCCCGCTGCACATAGGCCAGGGAGCCTCTCGGAAGTCAGCCAAGTGATCCAGGCCCCCCCCCATCCGTGACAGGGAGAACAGGGCGCGTGGTCTGTGAGGGTGCTGCCCTCTGACAGGTGGCATCATCTTCTCCAGAGAAAGTCGGTGTTGTCCACAATTCAGGACAGGACTGGGGGCGGTGTTGCGTGCGTCCACCCAGGGGAACGGCAAGGCCTGGGGGGATATTTGTGTGTGGGGGGGGAGGAAGCAGTACCTTTTCCTGGAAGCTGTTTGCTTGCAGGTTGTATATCTCGACGGAGCCGTCGATGCGGCCGACGGCCAAGCGGCTGGAGGGGTGGGCCGATACGCAGCGGATCCCGGCCGGCAGGAAGGCGAAGAGCCGCACGCGGTGCACCTGGAACTCCCCCATGGCGACAGCAGCGGCAGCCCCCGAGCGCCCTGCGAGGAGCGGAGGAGGGGCGTCACCGGGAGGCCGTCCCATCCCGGGGCAGCTGCGCCACCGGCAGCCTCCGGGGCGCTGAGCGGGGCGGGTCCGTCGGGCCCGGCCTCCCCTTTGCGAGGCCCCAGCGCGGCG